CTTTTGAAAATAGAAACATATAATTGTAATTCTCTTTTATAAAACAGAACATACTGAACATATTGTTCTGCACTGTTTTAAACTTATGGCAGTCACTTGGTGACTGGATATATCCATCATAGTCATGGATGTAGGCAGGATATAGACATCATCCTCATTCCTTTTTACAGTTGGGGGTACTCAGTTGAGTAGCTGTGTCAGAAATTCAACTAATTCTCTGTTGATGGACATTTGGCTATTTCCACTCTTTTGCTATTACAAATAGTGCTGAGAATAGCCTTGTGTGTACGTCATTTGCTCAAGGAAGGATTTTGAGCATGGTAGTAACCTGATCAGATTTGCATTTTAAAGAGAGTCCTCTGGTGAGTGGGAGATGGGCTGGGAGGTGGGGGAGAGGCAGGCCTAGGCTTTCAGGGTGTGGACAGATTGATGACATCTTTTAGAGTTGGAACCTACATGGCTGTGTTCCCATCGCTCCACCCTGCACCAGGGGAGTGTGTGTGTGTGTGTGTGTGTGTGTGTGTGTGTGTGTGTGTGTGATTTCCTCCAGGTGGTATGGATGGGAGTGATTGATGATAAGACTTTGCCCCCCATCCTTGGGGGCAGCTGGTAGTGATGAGGTCTCGTTTCCCTTTCGTGGGGGAGGTGAAATGATACCCCAGGAAGGGTATGCAGGAGTGGGGATAACCAGACCGTGCCCCTCTCTCCAGCTCGCTCGCCCTCCCTGCGTCCCTCTCCAGGGTGTCGCGCTTGGCGTCTGAGAAGCGCGAGCTGGAGTGCCAGCTGGGCCGATCGCGCGAGGAGGCTCTGGCCGGCCGGGCGGCGCGCCAGGAGGCCGAGGCGCTACGGGGACTGGTGCGTGGCCTGGAGCTGGAGCTGCGGCAGGAACGCGGCCTCGGGCACAGGGCTGCGGGTCGCCGCAGCCAGGACTGCCGCCGCCTGGCCAAGGAGGTGAGGGGACTGGGCGGCCGGTGGGGCCTGGGCCTCAGCCTCAGCCCGGACCTCTGCATCCCTGTCCCCTTCCGGCAGCTCGAGGAGGTGAAGGCGTCGGAGCGGAGCCTGCGCTCGCGGCTGAAGACGCTGAACAGCGAGCTGGCTCTGTACAAACGGGGGTGAGAGGCGGGCTCCGAGTGGGCGGGGCCTGGGGCTGGGCGGGGCCTGGGGGAGAGGGTGGAGTCTGAGGGCGGATGGGCGGGGCCCGAGTAGGATGGAGGAGGCGGGCGCGGCCCGAGACTGGGCGGGGCCTACTGGACTGCATGGAGCTTAGGGAGAGGCCGGGAATACTGTACGGACCTGCGGGGAGATGGGTAGGTTCTGATGCAGCATTCAGGAGGCGGGGCCTGGAAAGAGGCCGTGGGAAAGGGGCGGGGCCTGAGGTTCTTGAGCGGAAAGGGTGCGGCCCAGCAGATGGGGATCAGGGTGTCATCTGTTGCGATTTATTGGGGTGGGCGGTAGAAAGTTGGGAAAGATTTCCAGGGAGCTATGTGAGACCTCGGGAAGAAGGGTCTGGTGAAGGGAGCGTGTTGAAAGGAGGTAGGGAAATGACAGTTTTTTTGGGGTGGGTGGGGTCTGTGGGGCCTGGGGTGGGGCGCAGTCTGGGGGAGGGTCGTGGGCAAGCAGGAATGTCTAGGAGTTGACAGGGGATGGGCCTGAGCGTTGAGAGCAGAAGGTGCCGCGGGTCAGGGAGGAGGCTGTGATTGAGGTTGTCCAGCCTGGCAGGAAACTGACGGCTGGTCCTGTGGTCCCAGGAGACGGACTCCACCAGTGGTACTGGCCCGGGAGGACCGGGCTTCGTCGTCCCGTGAGCGCTCCACCTCTCGCGGCCGTGGAGTCACTCGCTCCTCATCCCGGGAGAGCGGCCGCGGAAGCCGGGGTCGGGGCCGCCCTGCCCGCCCCTCGCCCTCACCCACAGGTCTGTACCCGCCTGCCCCGCCCTGAGGGGAGGTGGATCCTGTGACCCCAGTCTCCTCTTCTTTCCACACTTCCCCACCCTGTCCTAGGTGGTCGCGCGCTCCGTTTCGACCCCACAGCTTTTGTGAAAGCCAAGGAAAAGAAGCAGAAGGAGATCAGGATGAAGTTAGTGCCCACTCCACTCTCACCTGCCTTCATCCTGCCCCGGGACCCGGCTCCCTCACCTGTTCGGCTTTCTCCCCACCTGCCATCACCTGTCACCTGCTCCCCTCTCCCCTTCCCACCACCTGCTCTCCTGACCCCGAGCGGCCCTGTTTTCTTGTCTCTCCCACCCGCACCTGGTCTGTGTCCCCGCTTGCTTTTTTTCCTCCTGGACCCGGTGATCGCAGGTGAGTCACCGGCTCTGGTCTTGACCCACAGGGGCGCAGCAACGCCCTGCCCCACGTTAGTCTGGCGCACAGGCGGGTGTCTCCTTTCCCACTTCCCAGGCAACAGCAGCAGCAGCGGAACCGCTTGGGCAGTGGAGGAAGCGGGGACGGTCCGTCTGTCTCATGGTCTCGGCAGACCCGGCCCCCTGCTGCCGTGACTGGCTGTGGGGACGCAGCTAACCGCTCCCGAAACAGAAACCGCAGCTCCTCCGGTAACTGGGTTGAGCTGGGGGCGGGCGGGGCGGGCCGGCGGGTGCGGGTGGCTCACATCCTCCTCCTCCTCCTCCCGCCAGTGGACAGTTTCCGCAGCCGCTGCTCCTCCGCCAGCTCCTGTAGCGAGTTCGAGGACTTCTCAGAGTCGCTCTCCAGAGGGTAAAACTCGGACTGGGAGAAGGGACTGAAGGGCGTCTGGGGAGACTGGAAATGGTCTTTTGCCGGGGAATTGGGTGATGGAGGCTGGGGACCTTGAACCCACAAAGGTGGCAAGGTGCGAGGAACCAAAGACTCCCCACCATTGGTCCTTGGTTACTCCCTTATCCCAGCGTTCCTCGCCGTGGGAAGCCGCCTAGCCCCACACCCTGGAGTGGGTCCAATACGGTGAGTGTCTTTGCTCAGACCTTGGAGGAGGAAGGGGTAGTAGCATTAAGCCCCTGGAAGCCAGCTGTCCCCATTTCCCATGATTCCATCCTGGGGATCATGTCGCAGGGGTGACTCTGATGTGTCTCTGGAAACAAGGTGTTTTGAGACCCGTGGATTGGAGGTGGGAACAATGAGGGACACAGGATCCTGTTTAAGGCTCTGGCTTCAGATCGTCAGGTCTTAAAACCTGGCTCCTACCGCCTGCGTGACTCCAGGTAGTTTATTAGCCTCTCTCTAACTCAGTTGCTTTGTTGGTTAAACAGGGATGGTAATAGTGTCACTTCAGAGAGCTCTTGTGAGGACGCAAGGAGGTTATTTTGCATATAGTGAATGTTCAGTAGGTGTCAGGCCTTATTTTTCCTGAAGGCCTTAGGTTCAGAATTTGCAGTGGGATTTGGGGGGCAGGAATAGAGGGAGGGTGCCTGACCCCCTTTCCTGCCTTCCCCGCCACCAGAAGTCCACCCCCTTGGAACGCAGCCACCATCAGAGACGCCTGGCCAGCTCGGGTGGCTGGGTCCCCATCAAAGGTGAGTCTGGGACTCCACATCTCCCCCCTACCATGAGCCCCAGAACCCACTGGGACACTAATGAGGGCACTGGTATTGGGCCCAGGAGCTCCCTGTGGCTTCAGTCCCCTTCGAGCCCCCCACACCCATGCCTGCTCTCACAGAGTACAGCTCGGACCACCAGGCGGCCGATATGGCCGAAATAGACGCCCGCCTGAAGGCCTTGCAGGAATACATGAACCGACTGGACACGCGGTCGTGACCGTGGACAGGGGGTGCTGCCCCTCCACCCCCCACCCTCTGCTGGGTATGGCATGGGGGGCGGGGCCAGGGTGGCCTTCCTGCCCCGCCCAGGCTCCACCCCTCCTGGTGCACCTGGGGTCTCAGGTGTGTGAGGCCCTGACCCGATCTTCTGCCCAGGCAAGGCATGCTGGGAGAGAGGATATGTGCATTTTGTAAATAAACATATTTGCCTTTGGGACCCCTCAGCTTATGACCGAAAGGTGAAGGTGGAGTGAGGAGAAAGGAAGACTGGGGGTGTAATTGGGACCTGAGTGCACTTCTGGGCACGTCTGTGACTAGGAGCCATATTGGGAAAAACTCCCACACTCTGTAAAGCACTGCAAGGGGGGACCCGAGGGGTGGTAGTGAGCAGCCTGTCCCCAAAGGAGTCCAAGCAGAGATTCTGCATAGATGTCTTTGGCTGTGTCGGGGGAAAAGGGTGTCTTGCAGCACGGTTCCCTGCCTGGGAGGACCCCCAGCTGCTGTCGGTGATATCCAGGCCGACTCGGTGCTGATTCCTGGGCTCTGACCTGAGACCTCTGGGTTCTGAGCTGTGATGTTGCTTTCGAGCTGGGATCTCCGGGGTCTTGGTTCAGGGTCGGGGCCTCTGGGTTCTGAGCACCAGTGAGGAGAGTGTGGGGGGGAGATGGGATGGCTGCGGTCTTGGGGGAGGGGGAGAGAGAGGAGGTGTGCTCAGGAACACAGCTTGAGCTGCGCCTTTATTGGAGGGGGAGGCGGTGGGGCTTCTGGCCAGGGGTGGAGAGGCACGGGGCGCCGACGAGCAGGTCCTCACTCGTACTGTGGCCACTGCTGGATGATTCTGTAGAGCTGGTCTCCTGGGGACAGCGTCTTCTGCACATCCCGGTGTCCTTTGACCTGATAGTCGGGTCTCAGGACTCCCTGAGCCACACCGCAGGCCAGCAGATTCTTGGCTGCCCGGAGGGCCCGGGGTGGGGGCACCCGCTCTGGAGGAGGCAGAGAGAGGAGTGAGGCCGGGGCTTATAGAAGGGCAGAGGTAGTGTGGGGGCGTGGGTACAACTGCGCTCCGAGCTGGACTTAACCTGTTTGTGCTTCAGTTTTCTCATCCGTGAAAACAGAGCATAGTGGCACCGACCCTCCCACATTTTACCCTTTGGGAGGGTCAAATGAATTATTTTGTGTAAAACCCACAGAACGGTGCCTGGCACAGAGTATTGGCTGTCGTAGTGGTTATTTATTGCTTATTCTCCCCCCTCTGTCCCCAGACCTCTGGGTCCTACCTGCAACAATAGCTGACACTGGCCAAGCACTTCTTAGGGTGCCATGGATTGGCTTGAGGATTCTTGTATCACCCAGTCCCCACCCTTACCGTGTGTTTGCAGATGGAGGAAATGAAGCCCACAGGGCTTGGAGATGACAGAGCCTCTCGGCCGCCAGCCACCATGCCATGCCATCTCCATGCCCCTTGTCCACCCCCCATCTCTGCTGGCTGGCCACTCACCCATGTAGTTGCCCATGAAGGAGATGCCAATGGACATGGCGTTCCAGTTGGTACCCGCGTGGTTGCCCTTGGTGTGCCAGCCCCGGCCCTCATACACGAGCCCATCTTCTCCGATCAGGAAGCTGCTCGGGGGAGGTGGGGGCTGGATGAGTGAGGGAGGGCTTCCTGGGGGAGGACCCCTGCCCCCTCTTCCCCTCACCCCACCTCCGTTCCTGCCATGCACACACAATTTCCCCAACATCCTCCTCCTCCCATCATTTTCCACAATAATAGCAATGACCGTGACCCTTCCTGGAGCCCCTGCCATGTGCCAAGAACAGGTCTGAATGTACCTTTTTAATCCTCACAGCAACCCCGGGAGTCAGTACCCCTCCCATTTTATATAGAGAGTCAGAGTGGTGGAGTCACCTCTCCAAGGTCACACAGGGGTGAGCTAGGTTTCTCAGCCAGGTCTCTGTGACTCCCACCCATGTCATCTTGTTCCTTGCTCTTTCCTGCCTCCCTGGAGGATTTGTTGAACTCTTGCTTTGCCGAACCCTTACACGACAACCCTCTGAGGTAGGTACTGCTCTCATCCCCATTTTAAGCTTAGGGAGCGGAGATCACAAAGCGACGTGATTTATACAAGGTCCTCAAAGACCGATGTGTCTCAGAACTGTGCCCTCACCCCCTCCTGCTGCCGGCCCTCAGGGTCCACTGGGGCAACAGGATCAGGGACTCAAGATTGGAGTCACAACCGGGTACAGAGCCTGGAGCCCCAGCATCTGCCTGTTGGAGGTTTCTGATCTTGCCAGTGGATCCCTGAGACTCATCAAGCGTGTCTTGATGGGGCGAGTCTGACTTGGCGCATTGGCGTTAACCGGAAGATCAGCATCTCGGAGCGGCAGCATCTGCCGACTCAGCTCCAGATGCGCAGAAAGTTGGAACCTCTGAGTCCTGAGTCCCGAATCTGCCGCTTAGGAAGCCAGCTCTCAGAATCTGGCTCTGAGGGGACCAGAAAGACCACAGTGATGCCAGCTGCCACCTTCCCAGCCCCTGGCACAGGGAGTCGGTCCTCCCTTGTGTTTGTCACATGGACGCATCTAAGTTAACACGCAACCACCGTACAGTCAAGAAAGAGCCGCATTCAGCAGGCTCAGAGAGCAGGTGACACGACAAGGAAAGGGGATTCGGAACGTTAGAATCAAACTCTGAATCCTGAGAGCTGAGAAACGGACTGAAGTCTGCGTCTCTGTACGGTGGTTTAGACCAGAGGCTGCATCACTGGTGGGAACGCTCAGCGTTGGGGCACCTGACTCCTGGAAGCAAAACCTTGGAGTCGGAGCCTTTGAATGATAACATCTTGAGCTGGAAGAGCTGGGGATGCCCACGGAGGCTTCTAGACCTTTCTGAGTGGGGTCTACTGAAGCGGCCTGTGGGGTGGGAGTTGGGCTCCTGCGTGTGCAGTGAGCGCACCAGGCGATTCTGGGGCGTTCCGAGGGCTGAGGGCCTGGAGGGTTCGCTGTTCCCTCTCGCCGTGGGAACCCCCCACCCCGGCTGGACCCAGCCTGTTACACTGAAGAGGGAGCTGGCGGGCGGGGGCCCTGGAAGCTGAGCTAACCCCACCCGGAGGCCTTGTTTCTGCCCTCACTCCCCACGGCCGCCAGGGGGAGCCTCATGCCCAAGCCAGAGCCCTCCTACGGCTCCCGTTTCAGAGAAAAACCAAAGTCCTTTATTCGTCGCACTCCCCCAGCTGTGTCCCCCACCCCGTGCTGCAGGCTGACCTGCGCACTCGGCCACGTGGCCTCTGCCGGCCCCCCTGCTTCCCGCGCTCCTCCCTCCGCTCCCCTGTCCCGGAGCCAGCTCAAAGCCAGTGTCCCAGCGAGGCCTTCCCTTACTCCACCCTTTAAAGGTGCGCGCGTGGGTCTGGCTGCATTTCTGAGGCCACCTTTCGTCACCCTGTTCCTTTTACTATGGCTCTGGCACCATCTGAACTCATCTTGTTGACTTGGCTTGTTTCTCGCCTCTTTCTCCCTGTTGGTCTTTCAACCCCGCAGGGCTAGAGTCACACCGTCCACGGCTGTCTCCAGGCCATGGGGTGCCTAATGTCAGCCCCTGGCGTTGGGGCTCCTGTGACCCGCCAGGTGGTATCCTAAGTGCTTTGCACGTATTGGCTCGTTGACGACCAGGCTGGTCGCAATCCCGTGGACTTTGCGGAGGAGGAAGATGAAGCTGAGGGGACCTGCCCCAGGTCTCAGCCAACAGTTAGCTGAGCTGACGCTGGAACCTGGCGCCGTGCTTCCTCAACCTGGCTTTCTGCCTCCTAGCAAAAGTGCCATCCTTTATGGGGTTCTTTCGTAATGTGCAGCAGACACCTTGGGGGGTGTGAGGCAAAGCCTGCCCTTCCTCCAGGGGCCCGGGTTCGGAGTTCAGCCCTTTCCCCCTCCTTTATAGCATCTTTGTGCTGCCTGCGCCTGCTCGGCCCTATATGGCGACCCCGGGGAGACCCCGGGAGGTTGAGGAAGCGGCGCAGGCTGTCCGCCAGGCGGCTACCGCGCGGGGCACAGAACCGGTCCCGCGGGCTGGCGCCTGCACCCTTTGCCCCCTCGGTACTCACTTGTAGGCCACGTCACACCATTGCAGCGTCTGTGTGTGGTAGTGCTGCACGTTCCGGACCTGCTGCAGGCACGAGGCCGGGGAGTCACAGGTGCTGCCCGCCGTGTGCGACACCACCACGTAGAGCACTGGCAGGCTCAGGCGCTGGTCGCAGTTGGACTCCTGGGCCCTCCACTCGCTCCGGGGCACGATGGGGCCGCAGCAGGCCGGGGCTTCTGTCTTCTGAGCCGCTCCTCCGAGGGCGAGGAGAGCGAGGAGGGCCCCGGCGAGCAGCGCGCGGCGGCGGGACATGGCGGGCAGGGCGCGCAGGGACCGCTAGGAGCGCGCAGCGGCCCGGCCGCCTTTATCTGCCCGGGGCGGAGCGGCGGGATCGTCTTGGTTAACACCCCGGCGGGACTTCCGGGGCCGGTCACGCGGGACCTCAAACTCGGTTTCCTAATCTGGCAAAGCCAGAACAGGATGCGGTGTGGTTGGGGATTTGGGTCAGGTGGGGAGGCGGATCAGCCGGGAGGGATGCACAGAACCCTGGGCACTTCGCCCTCTGGTTTCTGGAACACCCGGGGCTTGGATCCCTTGCCCTGCTTTGTCTGTCCCCTCATTGGGGCACTGAACAATTCAACGGGAACTTACACCCGAGTGAGAGGCCCGGGGCGTTGACACATCTCCTTCCTGCAGGGATTGAGGTAACAAAGGTGCCCATTTTAAAAACACTTCCTTCTCCCAGGCCCAGGCCTGAGGACATTTACCCCTTGCCCCAAACTGGAGAGATGAGTATCAGGAAACCCATTTCACAGTTGAGTAAACTGAGGTTGGGAGAGGGGAAGTCACGTGCTGAGACATGGGAGGTGGTAGAGCCTGGTGGTCCCAAGCCTGGATTCGGAGCCAGGCTGCCTGCACGGGAATCCTGGCCACCTTCTAGTGTGCGAGCCCCAGAAAGTGCTTTCACCTTTCTGTGCCTCCGTTTCCCCCGCCTGCCGCATGGGGATGATAATATTAAGTTCCAAACTCATAGGGTTGATGGGAGATTAAATTGGTTGACAAGCGTAGGGCCCTTAAAAGATGTTTAGCACGTAAGCGCCTCCCAGACTGGAGCTCAAGTCTGCCCTTGGAATTAGTAGTAAGGAACATGCTTCCCACGGGTGCCACTAAGCAGCTCCATTCCGGAGAGGAGGGAATCTGAATTCCAGAGAGGATCAGCCATTTGCCCAGGGCTGTTGAGTGGGTTAGGATCACTTGTTCGGGTGGAAGCCCTTCTTGGGGCCTCTCTGCCACCGTTTCCCACCCTTCCTAGAGCAGGCGGTGAGTTCAGGGCAGACTGCCTGGTTTGCTTTTCCTCTTTTCCTTCTGCTTTAGTGGCTCTTTAAAAAATTACAAAAGGCCTGGCGCGGTGGCTCACGCCTGTAATCCTAGCACTCTGGGAGGC